TATCATAATAAACCAAGATGGGAATAATGCACCTATGCTGTTAGATTTATAACTCAGTACAACTACGGTAATCGCAATAATTAAAAACAGATTGCCTACAGTTCGCAGCCACAGAACACGGCACGTTGCCATCTGTTCATCTAATCGCGTAAACAAAAGTTTCCCAGACGCCGCATTTACTTCTGATAGTTTACCTTTAATTCCTAACTTAGTACGTGTTACTTGTGTTACTGGAACACAATCGCGTTACAACAGAAGGCACACAGACTCATTGAAAAATTGTTTATTAAACAAAAATAAGATTTCAGATGCACAGATAATTCAGATGAGTAGTCCTCCGTTACTGTCAGTGGTTTCCATCTGCGTACACAGCACATATGTGTTACTTCATAAGTCTGAAGAGATTTAAGAAAAGCATTATTAACTTGGGTGGTACATGTATGATCTGAAAAAAAAATTTTCTTGATAAGCATTTACAAGTAATCACTTTACAAACAATATATATAAGTAGCCAAATAGTTTTCACTAAATTTAAGGGACTTCGTAATTTATCGTCGGTCGATATCTACTAGGTCTGTAAAGAAGAAAAGACCGAGGAGGCTGAAAGGAATGTTTATTTGGTGAAACGTATTGTACATAGGTAAATTTGGTATACCATATTTCCAAACCGCCATTTGCACATCATTTACCACATCCTTGACGAATTGGTCGAATACCGTCACATTCGATGGCTTCTTGGATTCTGCATCATATGACAACATTCTCCTCATAGTTCTCTTCTTTGATTGCTGTTTCCAGTGTGCAAAACATATTGTTACTTTTCTGAATTCACTTTCTGATATACTACTTATATCGGACTATAAGTAGCACTCACCACAACACTACACCCATTGGTCATATACACTTTTCACCATTCAACAACCAATCAAAATCAGCACAGGTGAAAACGTGACTCTCGTGACTATGCTACTATACCAACCAATGAAATCTCATTTCCATTATATAGATAAAATTTTACTTTGATAAAGTCTCACAGTGTTATACGCCCCCCCAGGTAATATCTACTGATGACCACATTTCAAGCACCATTTATTGCCGCTCATAATCATATCAAGGCACTAATCACACACAACTTTCTTGCTTCGTTTAGCCAATTATGCTATTCCCCACAGTGCCAAAGGTTTTCATCCTGAAGTCTCAGTTCATCAGAATTGTGAGAGAAAATTCAATTCAACCTGAACGATGTAATCACACAATATTTATGCTTATCTGGATGTTTCAACTTCAAACCCCGGTGGGTGCGTCATGATGAAGAGTCCCAAACTAGGACGAAACAGCTGTCCAGTACTCCCAAGTTTTCCAATGGTTCTGTAACCAATGTCAGCTCATGATGAAATCCTGTAACTTAGTAATTATTATCCATTTTGCTCCTTCCTAGACTCTATATCATTGTTTTCACATTTGTATATCATCCCCATATTTAATCTCTAATTTTGATGCTTCTCTTTATAGTGCTGTGTGATACATGTTCGTTAATGTGCTATTTTACGACTGAGATTTTGTCCGAGTGAATCAAGGTGATTCTAGGTGTATAATTCTTGTGGACAGAGGTTTAGATCTCACATTTCCAGAAAATTACCGACCTGATTCTCAAGTACTTCATACAGTTGAAGTTTGGTCAACTAATTTTGTTCTACAGTGCTTCTTGTTTCATGCTGTCGAGGTAATTTTGGGTTTTTTTTAATTTTTTTATTGTCCAATAGAACCAAATAGATCAATCGATAAATAATCGTCTTTTTACTGTCTTTCAAGCGTCGAAGCGTAACTGTACTCGTCGTCTCAATGAAGTCTGGTCAGCTATACAGAAGGACGCAAAGATCGCTTGCCTGAGTTCAGAATACAACAAACACATGCTGGTTTTGATTGTTACAAGAATAACAAACAAATTGAAAAATTTCCACAATTGAAAATATTTTCACAGTTGAACCATTAACCATGAAAATTTTGATTTAATTTACTCTCAGGATTAAATTTTTTAACCTATAAGTGTATCACACTGGTGAAATGTTCTATCTGCAGCACTTCACAAGGACAGGAATTCAAGACTCTATGAAAGTGTTTGAATTATTAGAAATGCAAAAGACTGAACACATTCTTACCAATGTTAATAATTTTGTTATCAACATCGGTTCAGGGTTTTTTCGGAATACATTTGTAACTCATTTCCACCCTAATACAGCCTACTATAATTCCCATTATTCAATAAGGAAGGTGCTAGCACCGCACGCACACTACATTATTATTATTCCCTTCGGTTCCGAGTGGAACATCGGGCTTCAATAACACATATCGACTTTGTTCTATTTTCTGCTGTGCCCTTCAGCTGAGTCAATTATTGCCCATAATCTTTGATTTCCTCCTTACCACAAGATCTCTTCCATGTCACCCTCACAACAACGACCCATGCGTCACTCCTCATCCGGACTTCACTCGAACGATGGCACAATCCCATGTGACTGCCGTCTCAGTGGTGTATGCCCGATCCATCTACAATTTTCCATGCATATTTCTTGAGCAATCGCCTCTTTTAGTTGGTTTGTTCCACTGCAGAATTTCTTGTTGATAATGCTTTCTGGTGGGTCGGCTAGTCATCTAATCTTTAGTATCGAGCCAGTGAAGGCAGATGTTGATAAAAGTCTGTAGGATACTGATGGAAATGCCTTCCGCGAGGTCTTAAACAAGTTCCTGACCCATTTACAAGAACTGACTAACTGAATGACTTTACATTTGTGCTGAAAATCCGAATCACGTTCCTCATGCTAAGTGAGTGCAGTGCACAAGATTTCCAAACTGCTTTCAGGTTGTTGTTGAAGGTGTATCTTGCCTTTCCGATTCTGGTCGCCTTTGACATCCTCATCCGTTCTAACTGCCTGTGGTTGAAACCGTGCTTCCTAGCCAAATAGCTGAAAGCGGTAACCTCTGTCAAATGTCTCCCGTTGATGGTGACTGGCGCTGTTTGCTATTTCTGTTACTGTTGGTTCGTTGGTTGGTTATCTTCATCACTTTTGTCTGCATCTTCTCTATGTTCACCTGGAATCCTGTCTTCACTACCTATCTCTTCTGCCAATTTTTCACCAGGCATGGCGTTTGTATTGAATTCACATAAGTTGGTAGAGATCTGCAGTAATTCTGAATAACTTTTATTTCTTGACTATTTACTTACATCTCCCCTTCATCTTCCTTTACGTTCCTAGTGGAAACTACCGCTTCAAACTTTCTTGCAGTTTCAGTAGAGATGATGATGTCGTTGATTTGCCAAGGGATAGTACTCCTAGCTTCACACCCAACCTTATCTCTTTTCTGAGCTTGCAATAGACTAGTCAGCTAATCAAAGTCTGCAAGTGCGTCGGCCAGGCCTTCTGTCGTTTCATCTTTTATGAGCGATAGGAAGAATACTTTAATAGCCGAAAGATGTAAACTGTGACAGAAAGGATTACTGAGCATTACACCCACTGAAGCTCCCTCCACTTTAGTTGAAGCTGATATATTATTATTGTTTCCTTTAATTACTAGAGGAACATAGGGCTTCAGCCTTGCCTCTCCATTGCGTTCGATTCTTTACTAGAATCTTCACCTGGCTCCAAGTCTGCCCACATGCTTTCATCTCCTCTTCACATCACATCCTCCAAGTCACCCTTACACTGACGACCAACTCGCCGATTCCCTTTCGGGTTCCACTCAACCAATGGCTTGTCTAGTGATGTCACTTGATGGTTTCCTCAGAGTATGGCCAGCCAATCCACCTCCATTTCTTCCTGTCTATTTGTTTCAAAATCGGTTCCTGATGGGTTGGTTCGCTCATTGCCAGAGATGTCTGTTGCTTATCTTTTCTGGCCGGCCATCTGATCTTGAGTATTGAGCGAAGACAACTGTTGATGAAGGTCTGTAGTTTGTTTGAGATGCTCTTTATGATGCGCAGTGCAAGTCTCTGATCCGTATATTGAGTAGCACTGACTTCACATTGGAGTTGAAAATCCGGATGTTAATTTTGATGTTGAGTAGTTCTGTTGACCTCCACACAGACTTGAGAGTAGTGAAAGCTTGTCTTGCTTTTCCGGATTCTTGCTTTGATATCCTCGTCAGTTTCGCAGGTACTTGAAGTAGGTTGTTTCTTTCAGGTTCCTCCCATTTATGCTGATCCTTGTCTGTTGTTGTTTCTGTTGGTTGTGTTGGCCAGGAATCTTCACCACCTCTGTTTTCTCTATGTTCACCTTAAGGAAGTACTATCTTTGATGTTTCTTCTGCCAACTTGTTGCTTTTCACTTGCATACCTTCCAGTTTGTGGGAAATCAGACATATATCATCGGCGAAGTCCAGGATATATTATCTCAAACAGATGAATTATTCATCTGTTAAACAAGAAAATGTATACGAAATAATTTGAATATGACTACAGCAACTGAGGAAAGTATAAACACATATCATGACTCTACAAAACTGTCTAATAAATAATAAAGCACTACGAGCAGGAACAACGAACACCGTCAATGAACCAACCATAGGCCTACTTACTGACCAATAAATGTGTGAAAGCAAATCAAGTGGAACTAGTCACATTATCATTTTACACATCAGTGTAAAATTCATTTCATAACTACCGTAGTTTTTTCAAAATCATGTCTTACAATTGAATGGGTACACACAATTTCTACAAAATTCAAAAACGAAATGCTTTTTAAAAACAAAAACAACACCAGCGTACAATTCACCTCATTTGTGTTTCAAAACCTAACACTTATTGGAAAAATGGATAGAAGTTGTAATCTCTGAAATTTTCTTCCCTTTATCAACCAATTAATGTACACAATGTGTTTAGTATCATTACACATATTTCGTCTACTTCTTTATTTCTTTTCTTGCTGCTTTTTCCTTCACCTCTCTCTCTTCTACATACTGACTTTTTATTTATTTAAAACATACGCATAGCCTACAGTTGACGTGTTCAATATGCCATTGGAATGAAATGACCTTGACTAATCGATCGTTACACAGTTTGTTTTAACTGACTAACTAAAGCGTTGAAGTTGAAGATTATTTTGTAATGCATTAAAACATATGACAAAATAAAATGAAAGTAATGGGAGAAGAAACTATACTTATTTCAAGGTTGTATCTCTTGTAATCTAAAAAGTTGTTTTCCTTTTTATTATCAGTAAAATTTGAAAGTGAAACATTACAGAAAAGAAAGTTGTCAGTCTAGTCTAGATCTATTCATAAAGATGAATTTTTCGATAGAATTAATTACTTTAATTCTACTAAAATTATTGACAATTTATGGATTAAGTATACTTCAAGAAATGAATAAAGTTTATGCACCATTTAGTGATAATATCACATCGACAGCTACTATCAGTCAAATTGGTCATGGTCTCCCAACTGCGGATAAAACAAATTTATGCTCACCAGATAGCCCAATCACGTATACATCTGTTGGAATCTACTGCGGTATACGTGAAATTGTTCATTGGCCAAATGGACCAGCATCAATGGTTGATATTTATCATGGTAATTGTTTTTGTTTTTTTTGTTTTTTGAAAATATTTTTTGATTTTATTTTGAATTAAAATATTGTTTTGGTTGCGCATTAACTGTTCTATAATGGGTAACATTATTGTTATTGTTATTATTGTTCCCTTGGGTTCCCATTTGGGTTCCACTCGAGTGATGGCCTGACGTGAGATGTCAGCCGACGGCCTTCGCTGTGAAGTGAATGCCCAATCCATCTTCATTTTTTTTCCTACATATTTGTTGAACGGTAAGTTCTTGGTTAGTTTGTTCTCGTAGTCTGTTGTTGCCAATTCTTTCTGGCTGGCCATTTGCTATTCAGTATGCAACCAGCAAAGGCAGCTGTTGATAAGAGTCTGCTACAGGCTGTTACAAATGTTGATGAAGGTGTATCTTACCTTTCCGAGTGAAGGAGGTTGAAGGTGAGACAGTGACTCATCGAAGAAGATATTGTGAAGTGGTCACGCTATTTCATGAATTTGGAAAACAGAAAGATTGAGCGAAGAAATATTTATTTTTCAATTAGATCCTCAACTCACTCTGGCTTTACTCTAATATATATATAGCATTTTTATTACAATACACAACAGTTTACTAATCAAGTGGCACTGATATGTTTGTTAACAATAATTAAACAGTGTCAAAATGTCAATGGGTTGATAATTAACGAAGAAAATCAATGCACATTTAAAAGGTAGAAATGGTAGAATAAATTAATTTTACAAGGATAATACGTAATTAAAGATGAAGTGGTCAAAATAAAAATAAAATAATTTGGACAATTATAATTTTTATAGTTTTTAAAGGTTTAGGGGCAGGGGGACGACGTAGTCCTGTTTATGCATTCTTGTAACGACGGCCACGGTAAGGAAAGTGGCTGTACAAATTTCTTCTGTACACATACGCTTGGTTTCTTCTGGTGGATTCCAATTGCTTCAGCTGTCTGTGGAAGACGAACTCATAGAGCAAAATTAAGATTAGTTGGAATGCGATAAATAATTTTAAATGCAGTATTAACATCAACTTTATGCTCAGTATCAACAAGGTGTGCTAAGACTGAACTACAAATAGATCTTGTTTGTCCCTTGCTTAACCATGCTGGATGATGTTCGGAAATACGATGATGAACCTGCCTAATTGTACCCCAATGTAGCTGGCTCCGCAGCTGCAGTCAAACTGGTAGATACACATAGAAGAGGCAAATTTAGTTAGTTTATCCTTAA